GAGCTTCTAGGCATTCTCCTGCCTCCACAACCTACCTCACAGTGGGAACACTAAGGTTCCAGGCGTGTGCTACTGTGTTCAGCTTTACATGAGTTCTAGAGACCCAAACTCCAGTCCTTATGCTTGTAGGCCACACACTTCTTCCATTGGGGCATTCATCTCTGCAGCCTGTCTCTGGAAAGACGTTCGTTTCCAACCTGCAGAGTTTCCTGAGAGCTGGCCACACTTCCCTTGGATGCAGCTAATTCCTGCCAGTGGAAGGATGCCGCAAGCCCTTCCATGGGGCTATGGAAATGTTCTGGTTCTTCGCCTGCCAAATAGGCTCCTATGGGGCCAGTTTTTTGGCAGTCAGGAGCTGTGTTTAGTTAGTGAAAACAAAGTCAATTTCTCTTCTGCTCTCGTACAATAATCCACAAAGAAAATTTCTCTGACCCCAAAAGGTGTGAGCTTCTCTCTCCTCAGTAAGCAAGCAGTTCCTCAGCAGATTCCAGCTGGGTGCCCTCTCCTCGGCTCAGTTCTGAATCTGTTCTAGTTTGCCTCCTACTGGGACACAACACTGACCAAAGGCAACTTGAGAAGAGAAGAGTTTACCTGGCTTGCAGGTTACTGTCTATCACTGAGGGAAACTGAGGCAGGAACTGAAGCAAGGCCATGGAGGAATGCTGCTTACTGGCTTTCCCCTTTCTTATACAGGCCAGGCTATAACCTGCCTTGAGATGACACCACCCACAGTGGGCTGGAGCAATTCAGTCAATGTCCCCACAGACATGCCTACAGGCCAATCCGATGGAGGCAGTTCCTCACTTAGGAGTCTCTCTTCCCAGGTACATCTTGGTTTGTGTTAGGCTGGCAAAAACTAACCAGGGCAGATTCTAGCTACAAAGAGGTAGCATCAGACCCCGCCAGTAGAGGACCAAGTCCCCAAGGCTAACCTCACATAGATGTCATTTCTAAACCCTAGGCAGCTTCCCCTTGACTGCTAAGTACTGCTGTGAATCGGGGTTCTCATAAAACACTCCTTTCGTTCCATTGATTTGCCCGAGCAGCTCACAGAACTCAAGGAAAGAATTGTGTTTACCGGTGTGTAACAAAGGCTATTACAAAGATTTCAGACAAAAAGATGCGTGGGTGAGCTGTGGGAGAGGCAAAAGTGAGCTGCCGGAGAAGGACCGCTTCGCTCCCTTGTCCTTTCTAGGTACACAGCCTCTTCCAGAAGCCTTAATCCACAAACTCTAACCTTTCAGTTTCCTGTGGAGACCTCATAACATAGCAGGATTGCTAACAGACTGGGTGGGGACCAACAAGGCCTGTCCAGATTCTTAAGAGCTACCTTCAGATGAAAGAAATTAGAAAGTTTCCTTGTAGTCAGCTAAAGCTAGGAAAATATTAGAATTTTTATGACCTGCCTTGAGGAGGAAGTTACAAGCCTGGAATTGTGGTTGCAAAGCAAATTGTATCATCAATAAGAGCCCAGTCGTGATGTTCAGACTCTCCTAAGCACAGAGTATACAGAGCCATGAGGCAGTTACAGTGAACCTCACAAGTTTTCAAACCAGACAGCTGCACAGTAAACATCCTCTGCCTATTGAAAGTGCTGAGAATCCTATGTACCTTTTTCATCCTATAAATCGCACATGGTTAGAGGAACAGCCTTAGAAATGACAGAGGCCTCCTAAAGTATAGCGGGACGACCAGAGATGAGGATGTGTAAAAGGGAGATGCCAGTCCTGGGGTCCCTGCCGGGATGGCTGTGAATAGGGATGCACCAGAACAAGGTGTATTTGGGGGGCTAAATGATTGGGATACAAACACTCCAAGATTTCTGAATCCTGCCGAATGTTTCTTTCCAAACAGCTGCCTTGGAAAGCAGCTGCTGGCTCTGTTTGCTACGCAATGGTTACACTGTGCGACTGTTGCCACAGCCACTCAGGTTGTCGGGAATTTTCCTTCCGGCTTTGTCCTCAAAGGGCGCTAACACAAGTGACTCTCAAGTCTGTCTTTCTAGAGTCAGGTCCTTGAATAGCTCTGCTGCCAAGCCTTGGATTCTCTTAGCTGGCAGGAACTTAAAACCTCTACCTATCCTGTGAATTCTCACCCTGTAGCAAGCATTATTCTGCAGCATTGGAAATCTCTGCTTTAACTCTTGTGGTACACACACACACACACACACACACACACACACACACACACACACACACCAGCAGCAGCAGCAGCAGCAGCATCTTCTTGGCAATTCCTTTCATTGTGGGCTGAAGGCTCATCAACATAGCTTCCATATGCTGTGCTTCGTGAAATATGGGGCAGTGTTTTCCAAGTTTTAAATACCAGTGGTCTTAGCTCCCATTTCTGTAGGTCATTTCAATGACCCCCGTCTCCTACTTAAGTGAATTTAGCTCAAAACTAAAACTAACCACATACAGAATAATAGGAGATGGAAGAAAAAGTGATGGTATTAAATTCTCCTTAAGAGCCGTTGCCTAGCAAAGGCTGGGAGGGAGAGGCAAGCTCTGTTGTTAAAACAAGAGATTAGCAAAGGTTAGAGATGTGTGAAGATAAATAGCAGGAAAATCATCCCTCTTCCCTGACCTAGTCCACAGGAGCAAGAGAGTTAGAAAGGGCACAGCATCTTCACCCGGTAAGACACTGTCCTCAGTGTCACTGGCCACCCACCGCTCAAAACCGAGCCTCGCAGAAGACGCACAGTCGAGCATGCTGTCCAGGTGGCCAAGCTCTGCACTGATCAAACACAAGCCTCCGGTCTACAGCTGCCTAGCTGTCCCAACCTCCATACTGTCACCTCCAGATGCTTCCAGTCTCACCTGTAAAATGGGACTAGCAATTGCGCCTGAGGACGGCACTCGAAGGCCGAACCCAAAACAGAACATCACTGAAGAGTGTTAGTCAGCCTAAGATTGCGGAGTCGTTCAGCTGTTGGGTTGAATTACTCTGGTCTTGTTCAAGCTTCCATATTGTAGAGATTCCATGGGTGCGTTTTCCCTTTCATGTCTAGAAAACACTATCTCATATGAAGCATCATGGGCCTCTGACTCTTATAATCTTTCTTCCCCATCTTCCATGATTTTCCATGAGCCTTGGGTGTAGGGGTTGTGTTGCAGGTGTATCAGTTGGGGGTAGGGTACCCCACTGTCCCTTATTCTCTGCATCTTGTAATAAATAGTCTCTATCTGTTGCAAAATGAAGCTTCTCTCTTTTTTTTTTCAAGAACTACACTGTGGATCCAAGGACAAGTATTTAGAATATAGATAGAAATCGTATTGGTTTACAAACACGGCAGTCACGGGTTTTTCTCTGGACCACTCCAGCCATGAGTAGTTTGTGAGGTTTACAGTACCAGGCATGAATTCCTCCCTATTGAGAGGGCCTTGAGTTCATGTAGACAGTTGATGGTTATTCCCACAGTAGAAGTGCCACGGTTTCACCGTTGTGGATAGCTTGCTGGAACACTCATTTTGGTCCATAGGCTCTACAGCTTGATAGAAATATCACTTATTTCCCTCCCTTGGCAGTGTGCATGGTATCCTCTAAGACCATGAGAGCCAGTCCCCAGGGAAGAGACTTCCAAGTTCTATGTTCACAGCATGTGGTGTCTTTAGTAATAACTGCTAAGATGGTTTAATAATTGCTGCTACTGAGCCAAATCTCCTGTTGCAACCTTATATTTCTGGCTGTTTGGAGTCCAGAGAAGACACTCCCCTGTCTCTCCCTCCTCCAGCAGCCTTCACCGGCAAAAGCTCCCCATCTATGCTGATTTTTGACTAGCCTGGTCTTGTGGAGGTCGTGTGCAGGCAGCCATAGCCACTGTGGATTCATGAACGGAATAGCCCTTGCATCCAGAAGACGTTTATTGCAGCAGTTCCCCCAAGAGCAACCTTTTGCAGTCTTTCCACCCCATCTTCTGCAATGCCGCCTGTGTGCCATGTACAGAGAGGGACGTTTATTCTTATTAGGTGTATGCTCCACCACCTTGGGGTTTGAATATTTGCTCGACCTCTTTTCCTACCCTACACATAAAGGGTGGGAAGCCAAGTGGGCAGACCCAGGCCACCTTGAAGATGCATTTAACACGATGGACTTGAGTCTGTGTTCCTGGGAAGAGCAGGAACGGAAACTTTATGTTGAGTGTGTGGAGGCATTTTTTTAAACTCATTGAATAATCCAAGCATCCCTTGAGATTGGTGTTAATCTGCATGTTGACAGGGTAGAATTCTATATTTGGATGTGAAGTCATTAAGCAGAGGAACAATTTTCTACTTAGGTTGTGTGACCTGATGTTATTTTGTAAACACATTATCGAGTTATTTTCTATTGCTACCCTTTTCCTTATGAATAAACACTGGCTGCATGGTCTAAGCAGACTTAAAAGCACCAAAGTTTCCATGTCTGTGTTACAATGGTTGTGGAGTATCCCATTAAGCCACACTGTCTTAATTTATTTAACCAAGTTCCTATGGGTAGGTTTGGTAGTGTTTGCTTATTGTGTTTTTATCTTGATGTGTGTGTGTGTGTGTGTGTGTGTGTGTGTGTGTGTGTGTGTGTGTGTGTAGGCAAGCACTTTACCCACAGAACCATAACTACAATGTTGTTGTTTAAATATTATTATTTTATATTAAAAATGAACCTGTTGTGTACATTTGCATCTAAACATTTTGTTCTGGAAATTACTACAAATTACTGCAAACAAACTTTTTTGTTCTCTTTATTTATTGGTTTAGTCAGTTGTTTGATGTGTGTGTGTGTGTGTGTGTGTGTGTGTGTATTAGCTATCAAATTGCCTACCCAAAGGAGTAAGTAGGTTTTAGGGCTGAGAAGCAAAAGCTGGTTTTCTATCAAATAAATTGATTTTCCACTTCATCCGAGTGTCATGATGAGTGGCAGGCCCTGTGCCAGAGCCTGAGAACAGCTATGAGCCAGGCTGGGCTCCTGCCTTCAAGGAGCACACCCCGGTGCAGGGGCAAGGCTTACCTGATCCTCTGGGACAGTGGAGGGAGGGAGCTGTTCGCGCGCAGCCCGCTGAGGCAACCCTGGATTCTAGCAGACCGCCTGAGAGTGTTTATTATACTGTGAGTTTCTGGATCTTTGTTAGGAAAAAAGTGCCCCGTCCTCTGGCACAGGACGTCGCCTTGTAATTCCCTTTCCATCTCCAGAGAGGAGCGGGAAGGGGGTCTTCCCGGCGGCAGGAGCAGGATCTGAGGATCGGAGGCCTGGGAGATCCTAGCATCTCATCGCAGACAAGAAAACCTGAGCGCTGGATCCCGGTCCCCCAGGTACCAGACCCGACGGGTGGCTTGGGGGGTTGGGACGTCGCGCCCGCAGCGCCTGGCTCCGGAGAGCACAGCTCAACTCCCGCTGACCAGAGAGATCGAGGGAGCCTGGGCAGCTCCAGACGGGACTAGCGCTCTGACAGTAAGTCTGCTCCGAGGGTCCTGGGGCCCGGGGACCCCAGGAGGTCCGCAGGCGGGGAGCAGACAAGGGGCGGAGCCCCGGGCCGGGTCGCGGTGGCTGTCAGAGGGTCTGCGGGACGCGGTGGCTTGACCTAAGGCGATCGCCTGGAGCTCCAGGTGATATAGCACGCCACTTCAACACATTGAACTTAACATCGCAAACCGTGCTGGTGCGACATCCTGAGCTCAGCATCCAGCAGGTCCTGGGGAGACAGCGGGTCGGCAGGTGTCCCTGTGGAAGGAGCCGGGACAAGGACTCCAGGTAGGACCAGGGGACACCAGGAGTGAGGGCACTAGGAACCCGACTAACAGAGGGGGTTTTAACGAGGTCTTGGAGTGGCAAGCAGTAGCAGCTCAGACCTGGAAGCCCAGAATGCCGGGCTCCGGGATGGCCCGCGAGGATGAATAGGAGATCACACTAAAAAACAGGGATGTGGGGTGTGTCTTGTGGCTCCGTTTCTTTGCTCCCTGTGACAGGGTCAGAAAGAACTTTTCCCAGTGTCAAGAAGAAAGACATCTTTCTGCAGTGTGTGCGTGAG